CATTGAGATGTTTCAACAAATGGATGCCTCACTGGAGCCACTCACTCGGTTATGCCAGGAGATTTAGGAGACAGCTACCTGGCCAACTGAATGGAAGAGACCCATATTTGTACCCCTTCCAAGGAAAGGCAATCCCCCAGAATGTGGAAATTATTGAACAATATCATTAATATTACACGTAAGTAAAATATTACTGAAGATAATTCAAAAACGGTTGTAGCAGTATATTGACAGAGAACTTCCAGAGGTGCAAGCTGGATTCAGAAGAGGACCTGGAACAAGGGATATCATTGCTGATGTCAGATGGATCTTGGTCAAAGCAAAGAATACCTGAAAGATATTTACTTGCATTTCATTGACTATGCAAAAGCATTTGATTGCGTGGATCATAACAACTTGTGGATAACTTTGAGAAGAATTGGAATTTCAGAACATTTAATTGTACTCATGAGGAACCTGTACATAGACGAGGAGGCTGTTGTTTGAACAGAACAAGGGGACACTGCATGGTTTAAAATCAAGAAGGGAGTTCATCAGGGCTGTATCCTTTCACCATACTTATTCAGTCTGTGTGCTGAGCAAATAATCCAAGAAGCTGGACTATATGAAGAAGAACATGGCATCAGGATTGGTTGAAGAATTATTAACAACCTGCGATATCCTGATCACACAACTTTGCTTGCTGAAAGTGAGGATGACTTGAAGCACTTAGTGATGAAGATTGAAGAATAGAGTCTGCAGTATGGATTACATCTCAATATAAATAAAACAAAAATTCTCACAACCAGACCAATGAGAAGCATCACAATAAAAAAGATTGAAGTTGTCAAAGAGTTCACATTGCTTGGTTCTACAGTCGATGCCAATGAAAACAGCAGTCAGGTCGTCAGATGATGAATAGCACTGGGCAAGTTGGCTGCAAGGAATCTCTTTCAAGTGTTGAGGAGCAAAGGTGTCTCCTTGAGGACTAAGGTGCGCCTGACACAAGTCATGATATTTTCAATCGCCTCATATGCATGTGAGATCTGGACAAAGAATAAGGAAGACCAAAGAAGAATTGATGCTTTTGAGTTGTGGTGCTGGCGAAGAATGCTGAGAGTACTATGGACTGCTAAAAGAACTAACAAATCTGTCCTGGAGGCAGTGTAGCTGGAATGCTCCTTGAAAGTGAGAATGGCCAGACTTCGTCTCACCTACTTTGGTCATGTTGTCAGAAGGGACAATTTCCTGGAGAATGATGTCATGCTTGGTAAGGTGAAGGGTCATCAAAAGAGGGGAAGGCCCTCAAGGCGATGGATTGACATGGTGACTGTGACGATGGGCTCAAGTACAGCAGGAATCACAGAGCTCGTGTGGGACCAGGCAGTGTTTTGTTCTGCTGTGCATAAGGTCGCTGTTCTGGTTATCTATTACCTCTCTAACAGGAATATACCACAAATGAGATGGCTGAACAAACAGGAGTTTATTCTTTTACAGTTTGGAGAATTTAAGTCCAAGTTCAAAGCCAGGCCTAGGGACTATGTGAAAGCCCCTTGACTTGAGCTTCAGCTCTGCCTCTTGCTCCAGGCTCACTGAAGCTAGAGGCATTTCTTCACTCAGGCAGCTACTGGCTGCTGAGGCTAATAAGCCCAAGGTCGACAAATAAAATGGCACAGTCCCAATGTTATAAAACCACATGGTAGGCCATTAATTCAAGTCCATTGTAAGTCCCAAGATCGGCAGAGCATGGCAGGCTGCTGAACAATGACATAGCTACATGCAGGATCCAAGCATGCCATAAGCTAGAGACTATCCCCAAGTCTTCTCCTTATATAAAGAGGAAGCAGACCCCATCCCAAAGGCATCTACTCAGCTGCTTGTGGTAAACCCCACCATGGAGTTGATTGCCAGTCTCATCATGGGAAATAACTACCACCAGCTGCCCAGCCACTCAACTAGTCCCAGTCAAGCTGACATACAAATTTAACTGCCACAGTCACTATGAGTTGGAGATGACTTAATGGCACCTAACAACAACAACAGTCAACAAATGTCCATTAAGCAGTATTATATGTACCAGTTTTCTATTTCTAGGTCTTCTTTCCATTCCTATATGTTATCTCTGCTGTAAATTACATACAGAAACAGAAAAATTAAAATTTCATTTACCAATAAAGGAAGGCTGCTTTCTATCTTAAGGGGACAAAACAACACCAATAAAACACTAGTATAAGTCTTTGTACTCTCTGGATGGTGCAAATGGTTAATAGAATAGTTGGAGGTTCAAGTCCACCCAAGGCACCTTGGAAAAAAAGGTCTGACAATCTACTTCAGAGAAACATCCATTCAAAACCCTATAGAGCACAATTCCATTCTCACATACGTGGGGTCCATGAGTCAATCAACTCAATGGGACAATTGATTTTTTGGATGAGCCTTTTAATGATAAGCTATGAAAATCATATTATAGTGCACAGTTTTATTTCTTTGTTCATGGGCTCCTTCATAATTCCTTAGTGCCTAAGGCACTTGACTGCTAACCAGGAGGCTGGTGGTTCAAACCCACCAGCCACTTCCTGGAAGGAAGGTTGGGCAATCTACTTCAGTAGTGATTTTGTTGTTGTTGTTGTTAAGTGCTGTCAAGTCGTTTTCGACTCATAGCGACCCCATGCACAGCAGAACGAAACACTGCCCCATCCCGCGCCAGCCCCACAATCCCTGCTATACTTGAGCCCATCTTTGCAGCCACTGTGTCAATCCATCTCGTTGAAGGCCTCCCCCTCTTTCGTTTACCCTCCACCCTACCAAGCTGCCTTGGAAACCAAGGAGGGGTTGCTATGAGTCGGGTCGGACTCGATGGCACATAACAACAACAACAACAACGAACCTTTCTATATGAAGTCTTCGAAAAGGATCCTAAGAAAGAACATCTTCTTCTCACAGTAAGAAGATCTTCTCACTTTAATTTAGGACTTGAAGAAAAGTGAGTGTCCTACTCACCCACAGCTTACTCTAAGCAAACTTTGTTCTTTACCTCCTCCATCACCAAATGTATCTCTCACTCTCCATATCAACCTTCTCTTATAGCCATCATCACCTTTTTTCAAGGAATGGTGAGAATGGGATAGTGTTGCTACATGGCTTCTTGTCAATTCTAGTCCATTCATTAGCTCTCTTATGGATGCAATAAGCAGAAGGGAAGGGCATATACTCCACTATTTGTGACAGTAGTATGAGGATAACATTCTGACCAGCTCTCACTGCTTGGTTCTTTTCATAGAGATGCAAGCTAAAGTGCAGCTTGTGCCACAAATGCACTGTGACTTACTGACATGTGAGCTAAAAGAGACATTGGAAACTATTGAGTCCAACAATCCAATCCATGAAGAATACTTTCTGAAATATCCTGAACAAAGCAGGCATCAAACTTATGCTTAAATACTTCCAGTGATTAATTGTTCGCTTCCTCATTTATGTGAATACTCTTTTGTATAACAAAACAGAAGTTGTATTATATTCATGGACTGTGCTTGTGTCTTTTTCATCAACAAATATATGATGATTTAATAAAACACTACAAGTGTGTAGCATCCCCAAACCTTTCTTTGGCAGTTCTGTCTCAGTAAATTATGAGTGTGTGTGCTTAAAAAATAGAACATAAGAATTTTATCAACCAAGACAACATGAGAAACTCTAAATTTAGATTACACAGCTGACTCATCCTTCATTTTCTTTTCCTGTTAAGTCATACAATAGAAAAAAAAGAGAGAGAGAAAACGGTCTTGATTATTTCAGATTGAAAACCAACTTCTTAAAGTAAAGTTGTTAGGTAGAGGAATACATTCTACCTCTGATACCAACACATATATTGCTGTTTTAGCTTTTTCAATCATTACTTCATTGCATGGATAAGCGGAGATACAGAGGAACTAGAGCCAGGTTATCTGTTGCTTTGTTTCCTTTCCAACACTCTTCTTCTGGTAATAAATTCTTCGTGCCCTTTAATAGTGACTAGGTCAGACAGGCGCTCCACCATCCACTCTGGCAAAGTCAGAAATGAAATAATTTCATTTTATTTACAATGTACGTTCTTTAATAGAGGGAAAATGGACAAAAAAAATGTTAATCAAGTACCTTTTTTCTGTTTATTTGGCACGCGTTTTTGCGCTGTCAGTAAGTTTTATTCTTGAAGGTATTTTGACTGTATAGTTCATTACATCATGCTTATTGTTACATAAGAAAATTCCTCAATTGTACATATGTTAAATGGCAATATAAGTGGACCCATCCATCTACGTGATAGACCCAAACACATGATAGATCTAATAATTGAGTATTCTGGCACATCATTTCTGTTTTATTTGGCACTGTGCCTGGCAGTGAAGAGTTTTAAATTCAGCATCTATCATTGCCCATCTTGGTCCAAATTATATGATACTAAACACCATGAGGAATACTTCGCAGGGGAAACTAGCACTGGGTTATTAGAGTGATAAACTTCCTATTGCCATGTGCTTGTTTCTGAATATTAGAACTATTAGCCAGATGTTTCCTATAGACTTCAAGAGAGGCAGAAAGTGTGGTGCTACTGGGATCCAGAAGCACTGAGGTGAAGTCTGCAGAAGGTACATAAATCATAGGGTATATTCATTTGGCTCCATGTGATTTCACTGACTTCACTCTGAGTGACTGGGAGTCTGCCCCAGGATCCTCTCTCTTCTGCTTTTGGATGCCTTTGAGGTGCTGCCCATCTAGACCAGGCCCTGCAGTAATCTCACACACTCCCATAATAAAGACCTCAGGGGCTGTCATGTATTTTCATGTGTTTGCTCTATTATCCCTCCCTGCTTGACTCTTACAGATAATTGATGATGCTTCTGTTAATCATCTTTCCTTCCCTTTTGTTCACCAGGTACCTTGCCTTGAAGGGCCTCCTTTATTGAGAATCAATGTCTCTTCCTAGGTAATTGATCACTACAGACCCAGGGACACCCAATTCACCCTGAGGGAGGATAATCATCATGAATAATCAAAAAGCTGTAGCTGTGGTACTGCAAGAGTGCAAGGAAGTGCTGGACCAGCTCTTGTCAGAGACATCAGATGTGTCAGAGGAGGACAAGAGGGAGGACCAGCGGTGCAGAGGTGAGGTCCTGATGGGAGACACCAGGAGTGAGCCAGCAGGTTCATGCTCCTCTCCCCTGCCTGAACGACATGTTCTCATCTCTGCTTTATTTTTCTTCTCTTGGCAGATGACCACCGAGAGATGAGTGGTTTTCTAGGGCATGAATGGGACATGGGCTGTGGCTGGACGGGCAGGGGAGGAAGCCCACTTTGTTGCAGTGAATTGCTGTCAGTTCTAATTTTAGGCTTCAGTAAACATGAGGCTACAAGAAACAGTTTAGTTCAAGAAGAACAAAGAGTCCAAGTTGGCTGGTGCACGTAAATTTCAATTATTATAAAATTGAAGCAACTTCTGAATGGTGGCACATACTTTTTTTCAAAGTAGGATTTTGTGCCTCATCGGTTCACATAGGCTTCTACAGTTTCCATAAATATGTCATCTCACCAGTCCAGTCTCTCCCTCTCTCTTTTTTATTTTAATCCATTTTATGCTACATGTGAAATAAATCCACTCATATTGATAAGTACTGATTGCATCATGCAAGGTTTAATAATTTGGCTTTCCACTCATTCCATAGTTTGCACATTCATAGTTTTAGATGTCATTGGGAATTTTCTGTTACAACACCTAGAAAATTAAGGCAATTATTATTTCTTCTTTAGTCAGTTTTGAAAAGGCAACATTCTTTTCTTAGCTTTTTTTTTTTAAGGATTCTAATAATTTTTTTTCCATTTCCTTGTGCCCCTGTTACTTTCTTTTATTTATTTTTACAGTTTTAGTGCTTTTTTTTCTTTTCCAGAAATAAGATTCAAAAATAAGATACAAAATGCATATTCTCAATCTCTTTTGTTGTTGTTCATAAAATTCTCCTTCCAGGAGAATCTTTTCCGTTCTGACTTATAGTGACCCTATAGCACAGAGTGGAATTGCCTCATAGGATTTCTAAGGCTGTAAATTTTTATGGAAGCAGACTGCCTCCTCTTTCTCCAACAGAGTGGCTGGTAGGTTCGACCTGCCAACTTTTCTGTTAGGAGATGAACACTTAACCACTGTGCCACTAGAGCTTCTCATTCTCATATATATAAATAAAAAAAAAAAAAAAACCACTGCTGTCGAGTCAAATTGACTCATAGTGACCCCTCTTTGGGTTGCTGAGATGGTATTTCTACAGAAGTAGATTGCCCAATCTTCCTTCCAAGGAGTGGCTGGTAGGTTTGAATCACCAGCCTTCTGGTTAGCAGTCAAATGCCTTAGGCACTACACCACCAGGCACATCTATTTTTACAAGGGCACTTACAGGAGCCAATTGTTATTGTTGTTGTTGTTATTTGCCATCAAATCAGACCGACTCATAGCTAGCGAATAGAAGACTTAATTATTTGTCACCTGCCATTTGTGCTGTTTTCAAAATAAAATGTCCTGCATCCAATCATTTAACAACCTTAGTTCATGTGTTTTTCTTTCTTCAGTAGCCAGATACATCAATGTGCAACTTTGTCAGTGATAAACATGCCAATCAACTGAGATCACACCTGTGTGTGTTATCCAGGAGGGAGGGGTAGGTACTTGGCACCTCTAGAACATCCCAAAACTGGACCTAGTTCTCTTCCAAGGTAGTGTGCTGTTCTGTTGTTTCTACTGAAGTTTTTTTCTCCTGTCCTTTGACTACACTGCAACCTTTGTCTCCTCAACCCAAATTCCATTAACCTTTCAGTGCTCACTAAGAAAGACTCTGAACCCCCTAAACAGGTAGCACTATCTTGGTTTTTTTCTTCTCAAATGCCACAGAACAGGAGAAATAATCAGTTTAGTTCCAGATAAGGCAGATCATGGCCATAAAATCACTAAAATAGATATGGCTTTTCGTAGCTGCTGGGGAAAGTAAGTGGTCAGGGCAGGCAGGGAGGCTCCTGCTTTGGGTGGGGATGATGGTCTTGGGTTGGCTAAATCCCACAGACCAAAGGGGGACCAAACCTCCTGTGCTGAACCAGTGACAATCATAGTGTTAACTGACCACTGTGAAGTGCCTATAGGGAGTGGAGCTCAGGGTGAATGAGTTCAAGGTGCAGTCCTTCCCTTGGCAGGTTTTCTGAGCAGTTTTAACAGATGGGTGGTGCTATAGAGATGTCATCAGCCTGAGAGAAAGGCATTATTAGCACAGGATCACTTATGGTGACACAGTGAGTTGAGTGGCCTCTGCAACACAAGCACTGTGGTTTTTATTCTTTACTCTCCTCCTCCCAACCCCATTCTTTTCCTTCAGAAATTGTCCTTGTCAGCATGAGTGACTAGCCCTAGAAACTTCCCCAGAGATGAAGAAGAAACTGAAATCTAATTAGAGAGACATTTCTTTGTGTGTGCTAAATTATATATAACATGAAATTTGTCCCTTTAATCACTTTAAGTGTGCTTTCAGCATCATTAATTAAATTTACAGTGTTTGGAACCATCAGTACTATTTATTTCTAAAACTTTTCCATCACCCCAAACAGAAACTCTGTACTCATTGAGCTGTAACTCCCCAGTGCCACTATCTCTATGCATTTGCCTAGTCTAGATATTTCACACAATATTTATACAATTTTGTATACAATATTTGTCTTTTTGTGTCTAGCTTGTTTCATTTAGCATAATGTTTTCAACATTCATCTATGTCATAGCATGTATCACAGAGATACATTTTAAAAATGTATTTTTTAAAAAACACATTTTATAAGCAGCTTTTATTTCAGTAGTCTCCACTAGAGTCCATGTCTTGACATAACTCTTAGTGATAAGGGGATGTGAAGTTGTAAAGAATACATTTTCTCCACTGTTATGAAGAAATTTGAAATTGTTTGGACCATTCAGTCCCAAACTATGGTGAAGAAATTCCATGAATCCCCAAATCATATTTCTGCTGTCCGTGGACTATTTGTGTTCACTCATGGATAGCACGTCTGTGTAATTTATCAGTTAAACTGGGACAATTTTGAGAGTGAAAAGGGATGCTCTTAATAAATATGCCAGGACAATAGCCATAAACCAGGACTGTCTGAGGCACACAGGACTGAATAGTCCTATTCATGGACCACCAAGAACCGTCCTCTAAGGAATTTTCTCTACAGATACATTGCAAACTTATTCAGACGTTGAAATTTAGTTAGTGGCTGTAAGAGGTCCAAGCTTTCCAGCCAAACGTGACTATGTAAGTCCCTAATCTTGTCACTCTGTTTTCATTGGAGGAAAACTGACGCATTGGAGTAGGTGCTCAGTAGTTCTAAGTTGCTGAATAGGGGGAATGATTTCAGTGTGATACTTGTATGTCATCCTTAGTAATCAATCCAGATCATTCATTGGCATGGCCCATCTGATATTCCTTCAGTGCTAGCCAGTCCCTCCCCACCTTATTAACACAGATTTCTTTACATTTGTCTGGTGGTAGCAAGGTCACAGAAAGCATCATGAATCATGACAGAGTTAGATTTTCTCCATTCCCTTTTTGTTTCTTGCCCTCTCTGTTATTTCTCTGTTGCTTTTTTTAGCACATTTCATGTCAACATAAGACTGAATACTTCATCATTATGGTGTGATTTACAGAAGACATGAAACATGATTCTCAGTCTAGTGAGAGAGAGAGATGGATGCAGAGTGGTGGGATGAATGCTAAAAGGAACAGACACCTGTGCTTTTGGAGATATCTCTTACTACTATGAGGTCTTGGCAGATTACAAGATGCAGCAATGTTTTTGTTGAATGCTGAAGTTAGTGGACTTGAGCTCTATCATGAAGAGGTTGGAGAAATGGCAATCCTGACAGCAGGGATGTTATTGTTGTTGTTATATGCCGTCAAGTCGGACCTGACTCATAGCGACCCCTCCTTGGGTTTCTGAGGCAGTATCACTACGGAAGTAGATTGCCCAACCTTCCTTCTGAGGAGTGGCTGGTGGGTTTGAACCGCCAGCCTTCTGGTTAGCAGTCAAGTGCCTTAAGCACTATGCAGGGATAGCATGTGGAAAATATTTGAAGAATGTTATGCAGAGCAATGGCCTGATCCATTCTGTGTTTTACAAAAAGACACTGGAAGCAATAATTTGGGCAAAAGTAGCTTAGAATGGAGAGGCAGAAATTAATGGGTTTTAGAGTCTACAGGATTTGATACAATTAGATTCAGGGAATGAAAGAAAACAAAAGACTAGAATGGCTTCCGAATTTGTTTCTGATTTGGATGACTCAATGGATGGCCCTATCATTCACAATAGAGAATACAAGGAGGAAACAAATAATAACCTGAGTTAGAAAAAAAGGGTTCAGATAAAAGTTCACCACAATAAAGAGTGTGGAGAGTTGGGCATACAATCAGAATTTAGATATGTTAAGTCTAAATTGACTGTGAGACAAGTACTTAGAGATTTATATAGCTAGTATATGTCATATATGTTGCTTGTGCTATCAAGTCAATTCCAACTCATAGTCACCATATAGGATACCTTAAAACTGTCCCGTAGGGTTTTCTAGGCTGAAATCTTATCAAAGCAGATTGCTAGGTCTATCTGCTATGGAGCAACTGATGAGTTTGAACTGCTGACCACAATCTCTTGTCCAAAACTCTAAGGGTCATATGTGTTTCAGAATTCAGAACTTTTCAAATGTTAGGAAGGTAGTATGTTGCATTCACACTCCAACAAAAGTTGAAGCAGCAGCTGTAATCAAACTCATTAAAATTTTTGCAGCAAAATTTGTAAGTAATCACACTGAGATAAACAAGGCCGTATTTCATTCAGCATAATGTTTTCAAGGTTCATCCATGTTGTGACATATATCAGGACTACATTTCATTTTACATCAGAATAATATATTATATGTGAAACAGGTCAATTATAAAAGCACAAATATTACATGATCTCACCAATGTGAAGCACCTAGAATAAACACACCTATGAAAACAGAATTTAATAGTGGATACCAGGGATAGAAGGGAGGTGAAATGGGGGCAGCTACTGTTTTGGAAGCATTGAGTTTTTGCTAATGGAGAAGGAAAATTTGACAAAGGATATTGGTGATGGTTGCACATGATTACTGTAGTTAATCTCACTGAATTATATACATGATATATCAAACTCATGACTGAATTATAGGCAAATGTTGTGTTATCTATATTTTAAAAACAATAAAAATTAATTAAATTTTTTTTTTAAGTATAAGCAAAACTATAGCCTCTAATCAATTCAGGTTTGGTTTTGGTGCCAAACTTAAGAAAAATCTTTCAGTTTTTAGAAATTTTTTGATTACTGAAACTTGGACAGGGGATTGTGAACCTTTATAAGTAGATTTGTTGCCCAGTAACAGATTTAACATATCTATTAATATCTAATCATGGAGGGCCATCTCCATGATTAAGAGGTACCATTTAAATCCTAATTTGTATCTTTAATACTTATTTTCTCTGTGCTAATGCAGTCCATAGTGAAAGTACAAGATAAAGATGAGGTCTTGAAGAAGCCAAAAAGGATTGTGCAAATTGACGCTGCATTATCTGGCTTCCACAAACCTAAAATGCCATTCCATCCTAGTCGCTTTCTCATTTTACAGGGAAAATAATATTTCCTTCATTCCTTTCTCTGATTCTTCATGCAGAGATAGTCAGTGAAGTGCTTTACTTCCTGCTAAAAACCTTTTTTAATGCCTGACTACCCCAATTTACCTGTAGGGCAAAATAGACTAAGGCCACCCTTGACAGATAGCTCTGTGCTATTATTCTTTGAGTCAGAACCAACTGCTTAGACCAGCCAGCAATAGGTAGGGAATTTTTTTTTCTTTTTTTTTTTGCAGCTGAAGTGCTTCATCATAACATTGGTAGCTCAACAGCCTTTTCTTTGACAGCAGTTTTCTTACCTGAACTCTGACCTTTTCAGCTTTACTCCCCAGCGAGTTAAGGACACTGATCCAGGAGGCAAAGGAAATGAAGTGGCCCTTCGTACCTGAAAAGTGGCAGTACAAACAAGCCGTGGGCCCAGAGGACAAAACAAACCTGCAGGATGTGATTGGCGCCGGGCTGCAGCAGTTACTGGTAGGAAGAGCCATACCACCTGTCCCTCTGACAGCCCCAAGTGAGGCATTTAGACTCTAAATGGTCTCGTAGATTAAATTTCTTTGAAGCACAACACAGCCCCATTCCCTTATGGTCAGCTCTGCCAGATTGACTAATGTGGGAGAAATAACTGTTAGAAAAGCATCACTTGCCCATAAGACCGTCTGTTGGAAAGCGAAATTCAATAAAAGTGAAGAAAAGTGACCAGTGGGTCCAATATGAAACCTATCATCCTGAAATATTTACAAATTCTTGGTGGGCCAGAAGCAGTACTTGTGATTTCACCAAGCCTCAAAGAGGTTTTATTTTGAAATGATACTTTCTAAAAGTTTGGTAGCTTAAAAATATAAATTCAATGCTGTTCTGTCAATGTGACTTAATTTTTTAAGCTGTTGAAGTCTGCAGTGTCCCTTCTCTGGGTCCCATGTGAAGTCCTGCTCACTCCCTTATCTCCTAATGATTAAGACTGTTCAAGAAGCATCAAGTCAAAGTCAATAAAATGTTTATTCCTCAACCAGTTATTGGAAATTAATCTACCTGGTACTTCCACCTTACATAGAAGAGAGTTCCAAGAAAAACACGATAAACTAAAATTTGAGCTCTAAATTTTGGTTTAGGTACTGAGGATACTACAAGTACCATTTTCCTTTTTGGTAGCATCGTTTTTTGCACACTTTCAACTCTACTAGCTTATACATATATATTTTTCTTCACACACACACACACACACACATATTTCTCTGGAGACCAAGCATTAGAATCAAAGATAGTATCCTAAAAATTTGTTTATCTATTTATACATGTCATGATGTTTGAGTATTTGAGGCATTCCCAAAATAAATGTGGACATTGTCTTTGCCCATCTGAGCAAAAACCTGAGAAAATCGCCTGGATCTACATACTCATAGCAGAATAGTAGCATATTTAGAGGTCACTGAAAGAGTAAGCTCCCCACTGTCCCCAATCTACAAAACAAACAAACAAACAGATTTAAGAAGACTGGTGATTGAAGGCAAAGGAAAGTGAATACTTGGAAAGAATTTGATGGTAAGCCTGAGCTTTAAATAAGTGTGATTGATAATCATGGAGAAGTAGAATGGACTAATAACTGTAATTGGTATATCACTATACAAATTACAAAGTACTTTCATATGCATCATCTCATTAAGTTCTCAGAATAACTCTGCAGTGTTTATTATCATTATCATCCCCCTTTTACAAATGAGGAAATTAAGGTGCAGGGAGATTAATTTGTCCAGGGAACAGGCCAGTAAATGATAGGGCTGTGAATCACAGCCTCCTCTTCTGACTACAGTGATCACTCAGGAACCTCAAGTGAAGAACTTGGAAGCAGAGGTAGAAGCCCTGTGTAAAGCAGTGTATAGGCTCCCCAGCAAAACCTACCATAATGACAGAAATGTTCTATATCTGCACTATCCAACACTTGAGGCCCTGGCCACATGTGGCAAGAACTTGACATGTGATTGTACTGTTGCACCCAGATCTTGAATCCCCAAAAACCACCAAGGAGCCGATTCCACTGCAAAAGGATGTTGTTGTTGTTGTTGTTGTTATGTGCTGTCGAGTCAAACCCGACTCATAGCGACCCATCCTTGGGTTTCCGAGGCAGTATCACTACGGAAGTAGGATTGCCCAACCTTCCTTCCGAGGAGTGGCTGGTGGGTTT